CCCCTGTGCTGTGCTGTGCTTAGTCACTCAGTCATATCTGACTGTTTGCGACCCCATGGACAGCAGCCCACCAGGCTCCTCTGTACCTGGCGATTCTCCAGGCAAGAATACTGGAGTGGGTTGCCATGCCTTCCTCCAGGGCATCTTCCCAACCCAGGGATCGAACTCAGGTCTCCCACATTGTAGGTAAATTATTTTTAATTTCTGAGCCACCAGGGAAGACCAAGAATACTGGAGTGGGTAGCCTATTCCTTCACCAGGGGATCTTCCCAACTCAGGAATCAAACTGAAGTCTCCTGCATTGCAGGTGGATTCTTTACCAGCTGAGCTACCAGGAAAGCCCATGAACCCCCTATCAGTATTAAAAATGTACATGTCTGTTAACCCAACAATTGCATTTTTAAGAAGATTTTCTTTATGTGGACCATTTTATAAATTCTACAGAATTTGTTACAATATTGTTTCTGTTTTATGTTTTGGTCTTTTGGTCAGGAGGTCTGTAGGATCCTGACCAGGGACAGAACCCACACCCCCTGCATTGGAAGGTGAAGTTTTAACCACTGGACTGCCCCAGTCCTTCCCCAGGGAAGTCCCCCAGAAATTGCATTTCTAGGAAATTTCCCTACAGATACATTTACTCACATGCAAATAAATGTATAAGGATATTCGTTGCTGTTTGTTTATAATCACAGAAGACTGGAAACCAATTGCATTTCACTAGAGGATTTGTTTAAAAATATATGGACCAGCCATGCAAAGGAATAGAATGAATTACTAACAAAACTTAGGTGGTTCTGAATAAACTGACTTTAAAAGATTTCGAAGAACCATAGTTATTAGAAAAACAACAAAGCAAGGTACAGAGCAGTGTGTACAGTTTGCTACTTTTTGTAGGTTTTAAATTTATATGTGTATTTGTGTATGCATCTCTAGAAAGATGCAAAGAACTTGTAATGGTGGTCACCTTTGTGGAGAGGCAAAGTTTACCAGGTAGCTGGGAGACTGTAGGATGGTCTTCATTTTTATTATATGTCCTTTTGTACCCCTTGAAATTTGTTTTATGTGCATATATTATTTATTCTAAGTAAATACATAAGAAATTAATTTCAGTAATTGATTGTTGTGATGGCCTCTGGATGATACTAGAGGGATCAGATCACAGCCACTCCTGTCATCCTAACTTCTTATTTTGTCCCCTCATCTCCAGTCATGTCCCAGTCTGTCTTCACAGTGCAGAGAGATTGTTCTAAAACACCATTTCATCACGTATCCTCCCTACCCCCAAATCTCCATGACCTAGGAGGTAATATCCAGTTTTTCTCCTGATATTCCAGGCCATATATTAACTGATCTTAATTGTATCTTCCTCTTGTTTGTCAGAAGCAAACTGTACAGAGTTCAGTAGCAAAGTCTTTGAAGAGAGACCACCTGGGTTCAAACCCACTGTGACCTTAGGTTAAACCACTTAATCCCAGTGTGCTTCAGGTTCATCATCTGCAACATAAGCTCAACAAAGACACTTAGCAGTGTTTAGAAGCTATACAACATAGAAGAGTTAGTTGCTTGTCCAACTCTTTGCAACCCATGGATTGGAGTTCACCAGGCTCCTCTGTCCATGGGATTCTCCAGGCAAGAATACTGGAGCAGGTTGCCATTTTCTTCTCCAGGAGATCTTCCTGACCAAGGGATAGAACCCAGGTCTCCTGCATTTCAGGCAGACTCTACTGTCTGAGCCTTCAGGGAAGCTAAAGTAGCAGTGTTTGGTACATAATAAAAGTATACATTATACATTGACTGTCGTTGCTATAATAATAATACTTTGGGGCTTATCATCCATGATAATTTTTATTGGCCTTTTTACACAGTATTTTCTGCCTCTCCCAGTAAACTGTGGGGCCTCCGTGAGGGCAAGGACTTTGTTGTTTTATTTAAAAGTATATTACTTGATTTTTTTTTTTAAAGTACATTACTATGGCTTGGCACATAGTTCTTGTTTAGTCACTAAGCCATGTCCCAACATTTTTGTGACCCCATGGACTGTAGCCTGCTAGGCTCCTCTGGCAATGAAATTTTCCAGGCAAGAATATTGGAGCGGGTTGCCATAGGTACTCACTAATATTTGACTGAATGCCTTGTTTTCAAATTCCCAGTTCATTTATTCATTCAACAAATACTTAGTAAGTCCCTAATGTGTGCCAGTCTCTATTTGGTGATAAAGCAGTGCACAGAAAGTCCCTGCTATCTCTGAGCTAGGAGATTCAAGGTGGAGTGGTTCTGCACTTGAACGTGTTCCATCATGATCTAGCGGTTCCAAACCCAGCTGGCCATCAGAATCCCTGGGGAGCTTTAGAAGTCGGAGGCAGTGTCTACAGCGGGCCCTGTAACCTACAGATTTTTACACAAGATTTTTTATCATCACTAAAAGTGTGAAGTTTAAAGATTCTTGGGTGCATGGCCCACATCTGTTGGCTCATTCAACTTTATTATCTATCTCATCCCCAGTAGCTTTTCCAGAATTACTTCACTATGAAAGGAAACTCCATGTGTTTTCCCAATTCAAACTTGAACTTCTTCAGCATTTTTACTTTATTATTTATTCATTTATGTTAAAAATTTTAATTGAAATATAGTTGTTTCACAGTGTTGTGTTAGTTTCAGGTGTACAGCAAAGTGATTAAATTATGTGACCCAGGGATCAAACCCTGGTGTCCTGCATTGGCAGGCGGATTCTTTACCAATGATCCACCATGGACGCTCCAGTTGTATGTGTGTGTGAGTGTGTGTATACGTGTGTGTGTATATATATATATATATATATATATATATATATATATATGCATTTTTACTTTTCTAACGAAGACATCATGAGTGGATAAATAGACTGATAAAACTTTTAGGTCTTTTCCAATGCTGCCTGAAATCAACTTATTAACCACTTCTATCTAGTCATTTGTCTGCATCTCTTGGATCATGATTTCCATCATCTTCTTTTGGGTTTGGCAGACCTGTTGATGCTAAGCATAAGAGTTCTTCTGAACCTGATTGTTGCATTTTCTTTCTTTTTTTTTTTAAATAAAGCCAAGAGAAAACAGACAAGCAAATAACCACCAGTAATCTTGACATCAACATGAGCTTCAATCACATTTTTGACCATGGAGCATGTTTTGTCACAGGTATCATTGCCATGGAAATTAGGCAGCTTTTGCCCTGAACATCCTCAGTAATTAGCTTGAAGTTTTAAAACGCCACTTCATCATTCTGCACATCAGCAAGGCTCACTTCAGAAACAACAACCCCAGAGGCCATCAGATGGATTTGGGTACCCAGAGTTTTTATGACTAGTGTTTTTCCCATATTTCTTATATTGAACATAGGTGATGCTTTCACATTATACCAATCTTTCTTATGAAACAGACCAACCACTTGCTTCTTGGTTACCTTTTTGCTGTCTTTCATAAAGGTGCTTGTTGCTGACCTCCAGAGAGCCAGAAGGTAGAACCTGCATTTTTATTTATTTATTTTTTCCTCACCCATGAACCTGCATTTTTAAAAGGAAGCACTTACAAGCTGGTCCAGTGTTTCTAAACTCAGCTCTACGGAGTATTTGGGGGTGGGGAATTGTTCACACATCCTATGACAATTTTTAAGCTTGAGATTTTAAAAATTTTACTTATTTGACAAGTGGGAGTCTTCACTGCTGCAAGGGCTTTTCTCCAGTGGTGAGCGGGGCTTCTCATCACAGCCTCTTGCCTTCTTGCAGAGCTCCGGCCCTATAGCACACAGGCTTCAGCAGTCGTGACACGTGGGCTCAGTATCCGTGGCTCCCCGGCCCTAGAGTACAAGCTTAGTAGTTCTGGTGCACAGGCTTAATTGTCTCGAGGCAGGTAGAATCTCTATGGACCAGGGATCAAACCTGTGTCTCCTGCATTAGCAGACGTATTCTTTACCACCAAGCCAACCAGGAAGCCAAGCTTGGGATTTTTAATGATGTGATTTTAATATTTATTTTTAAATATAACTACCCAGTTTCTCTTTTGCAGTGACATTTCATAACTGAAAGGCTTTTCCCCCTAAGATTTACTTACTGGCTGTGGAGGGTCTTCATTGCTTTGCACAGGCTCTCTCTCCTTGGGGCGGGCAGGGGCTACTCTTCCTCGGTGCACGGGCTTCTCTGGTGGAGCGCCTGTTCTAGGGCCCACTGGCTCAGTAACGGCCATGCAGAGGCTTAGTTGCCCCTGGGGAAAGTGGGATCTTCCAGCGTGAGCGATTGAACCGGTGTCCCTGCATTGCAAGGCAGATTTCTAACCACTGGACCACCATAAAACTCCCTCCATGAGGGTTTAACCAGAGGTCCTTGCATTATTCAAGTGTGTAGCACAGATCAAGTGCTTTTCAGAGTGAGCTTGACCCAAATCTGTTCAATAGCGTCTTGCCTTCCCAGCTTGAGAGCAGACTTGGTTCTGACCTAGCCCCATGTCCTAAGAGATGTCCTAGAATGTCCACTTTATCCTAGGGTGGTGGGCTGGCAGTTCAAAGTTGCTTCAATGTTAGGTGCCTGGGGTGAAGACTGAAGTCCTTGGTCTCTGTCTCTGGCGTTTCCTTAGACCACATGCTGTACAGATACTTCAAGAAGGTTCGCATCTACACACCAGATTGCTCCCTTGGAAGGGTGACTGCTGGAACCCATCCCATGGCAATGATGATGATGGAAAGCACAAAGAGCTTGGGAACCAGTTACGCCTAAATTCAAATCCCACCTCCGCACCCCAACTACCCTGCAGTGTGGCTTTGGGAAGATGACACATTCTGTGCCTGTTTCCCCACCTGAAAAATGGAGTCAGTAACAAGTCACACAGTGGTTGTTACAAAGTTACGGGAGGCTTCGCTTGCATAACCGAGGCACTGAGCTTCTCTCCATCAGCTGGCATCAAGAGCACATGTGCTCATCGGGCCCTGAGGCGTGCAAGTGAATTAATTCCTGGTCTGACTCTATCACAGTCTCAAGCCGTTGGTAAACCTGCTCGGTTGTCCCAAACAGTGCAGAGGAGGGTGAGAGCAGTTATGTGGCCGTGTGTTGGCACTGAAGGAAGGCCAGGCGCGGAAGCGTGGCGCTTCCTCACTCCAGCCTGGCTCCCCAAGCGGCGTTCCGACCTTGGAGAACCTCCCGGGGTCTGCAGGGAGGTGCGGGGCAGTGGCGGCGGGCTGGGGCGGCGCGCGGTGGCCGCGGCCGGCTGGGGCGACTCGCGGTGGCGGGCGGCGCGCGGCGGCGGCGAGCTGAGGCGGCGCGCGGCGGCAAGCACCTTCCCACCTGGCGCCGCCCACAGGCCGCCCCGCGCGGGCCCGCCGCGCTGACAAGTGCGCGCGCGCGTCCTCTGCGCCGGCCCGTGGCGCATGCGCGCTCTGCGCTGTCTTCTCTCAGCCAGAGCGGCGGCGGCGGCGGCGGCGGCGGCGGCGGCGGCGGCGGCGGCGTTTGAGTGGAGGAAGATGGCGGCTCCGGGTGGATCGGTGTCCCGCCAGCTGTGAGGAGTCCCGAGTGCGGCGGGCGCGGCCTGGGGCGCAGCGCCTCTGCTCGCGTCCTGTCCGGGGTTCCCTCACCGCCTTCGCCAGCGGAGCGTACCCGAGAACGTGGCGCGGGCTAGGCCAGGTGAGGCCTCTTCCTCTCTCGGGGCCGCGGCTGGGAGCCGGCGCCTTCTGCCCTTTATGCGCTGGGTCCGGCCCAGGCCGTGGACCCCGCGCGGGGGTCGGTGCTGGCTGTCATGGGGTCCTCGCTGTAGTCTTCCCGCCCTCCCCGGGTGAGGCAGGGAGGAGGAGAAAACCCTTTTCCAGGCAGCCTCTGGGATAGGCGAACCCGGCCTCTGCCCTCTAGCAGGGCGGTTTTCGTCCCCCCTCCGGGGCCACGAAGGTTGTGTGACCGGGGTAAGGGTGGCTTTGAGGTGTCAGATCACCTTCCACCCCGCCCCCAAATCTTTAACGCCTTTCGGGAGGCGCCGGAGTCCGGTGCTGTGCAAAATTGGGGCTGCGGCGAGAAGCCATCATCTCTGAAGCTGCAGCTGCAAAAGGAAGATTTTGGAATTGGCTTTACAAAATGAAACACAAACAACCTTTCCTACCCTTTTAGCTTTTTGAGTGTTCCCCTAGCGAAGTAGGAACTGCGGATCTCCTTGATGAAGACAGCAGCCCACGTTGTGACTGGAAGGCTTCTGGCGAGAATTGTTTGTGCAGAGGGAACCGTGGAGGGTGGGAACCAATTTGCAAACGAAGAAAAAACAGTTGTAAGATCTTGATAGTCTCTGCAGAGTAACTTAGGTGCTAACGAAGCCCTCGTTCCTTTGAAACCTTTGGATTGTTAAGATTTCGATACCCAATTGCTTTTGTCTACTGATCTCTGAATTTTATTAGGAGAATAAAAGCTTTATTTCTTAATTGCCATAGTCTTTGGACTTTTCTGTGGTGGGATTCCAGTTGCTCAGAACACATTACCAGTTCTCGATTGCTGGCAGGGACATTGTATCATACTTGGCCTTTTTGAGAACAACTTTTGTTGCTGTTCTTCAGATGCTAATGTGGAGACTTTGATTTTGTTTCTCTAGTAGAGAAGCCAGTTTGAAGCCTTACGGTCTCTTCCTTGAGGAATGATGGCTGCAGTTGCAGTTGTGCTATGGGAAGTCGTTGAGGCGATAGCCTTGGCTTCGACACACCAAATACCTTTTGTAACGTATATTTGTTCTACTAGTGCTTAAGAAGGATGACATCATGGGTTTAAAGGGACAAGAAAATCTGAGGGGAAATAGCATCATTTTGAATTGAGCATTTAAGATTTAGTCTGTAGCTTTTACTGGGAATAGTGATGCTCTGTTTCAGATCCCTCATTTTGAGCATATGCGTGTATATAAGCTGGTTTCCTTTCTATTGTATGATGTCATTTTATATCCTATAACTGTTCGCTTTTGACAAGCCTAGTATAAGTATTACTTTTATCTATATTGACCCATGGGTTTTCAGTCTGTTTCAGAAGCTTTTAATTTTTAGAAGAACAACTGTTTAATGTTAGCTAATTTGGGGACCTTTTAAAATTTTTTCTCTTAAAGCCTCTTCCATAGGGATTTGTAGATTTTCTCAGTGCCTTTGCTAAGGACATAAACCTAAACCAGCAACTTCTCCATTTTAGAAAGTTGGAGAGCCACTTTGTGTATCAATTTGCTAATAGTCATGAGATTAATGCAGTAACATCCTGGTGGTTTGACATTACACTTCTTGGCATACCGTGTTGTGGTGTTGTGCTAAATCATCATCAGGTATTGATGCAACTTCATGACATCCATGACATCATTCACTCTCCAGCATTTTGCCTTTTGCAATTTCTTCTCAGAGTCACAGAAAAAAAGGATCAGGAAAAATAGCTTAGGATGCTTCTCAAATGTCTGATTTCTGGAAGAGCCTTCTCCAAAACTGCTTTATATAGTAAAACGCTCCTATAAGACTTAGAGCTGGGAAATTGCTACATATGGTGAAAATGCTAGCGCAGCCTCTGGGTTTTACAAGAATATTGAAGTCCCAAGAAGCTACTCCAAAGATGAGCAAAAATACATGATTATCTTTGTGATTTCAGGTTTGTTTTAGTCAGTATGTATAAAGCCAGAAGCCATTAGTTTAAATTATGCCCTTCCCACTTCACAAGATTGTTATGTGAAACAACAGTGTTTGTGAAAATGCTTTGTAAAATAGAAGGTGAATGTAAAATTGATTATTCAGTAATCAGTTTTATGAAAATGCCTATTGAGGGCCTTCTCTGTGCTGGACAGTCTGGGAAGTAGGTCCTGATGATTCTAAGACAAGACAGCTTTTGGTCTCAAGTTGCTTGCAGTATGGTCTGGGATCCAGTCTAAGAAATTAGTTAAATACATTACTGTGTAAAAAATGCACTGAATCCAACCAAGGGAGTAAGAAAGTCTTCTCAGAGCCAGGGTGGGTTTCCCCAGCCTTTCCTATTCTGCAGAAAAATATCCCTTTTGTGAGCAACCTGCTTTTTATAAAAACTTAGAAAAATATTCTATCATGAGTTCTTTTCCTCTTTTATTCATTCACTGTTATGACACTTCCCACACAGTGTGCCCCAATTATGGTTTATGCATTCTCAAAAATCCACCAGTCTTGGAAGAACCTTTTTGAGAGTGAGTCATATGAACAAGAGATAAACACAAACATTGCAGCTGCAATTAAAATATCTCAAATTACTAAGTGGTGACAACTTTAGAGTGATGATGCTTTTGTTTTTGTTTTATAAATGGGCACAAGCAGTACTGTATGATTTTAATTTGATCACACTTAATCAGTGTTTAGTTGTCTGTCCCTTAGAATGTTGACTATTAGTGATTATTAATACTATCTCATTTCCCAATAATAAATAAATAAAGCAAGAATGTCCTTCTCCTTTTGAGGTGAAGCCGACAGCTTAAGCCAGAACTATACTAAACTATTTTGTAAAATATATTTATGTAGATTGAGGCTGCTTAGCATCTCTGATCTTGAACTTCTGTTCAATACAGTTTTCTCATCTTAGTGTGTGGTATTTTATAATCAATGTAGCATGCTGTTACCCACATTGCAAAAATTTTACAGATGTTTGAATTGAGTGGAATATGTAAGTGGTGCAGTATTGGACACATACCATCTGTATCTTAACTGAAAATGAGTGCTTTAAGGTAGTGGTTGACAGAAAAGTGAAGGTGATGTATTCATTTCTCTAGCTTACGTGTAGAAAGATAGAATCTACAGACAAGTCATTTTAAAATTGCCCAGTATTAAACTCATAACACTATGGCTTATTTTAAAAATAGTTTCTTGTGACATTCTTCTAAATGTCTTGTGAAATTATGACTTAGTGGTACTCTTTTTTTTTTTTTAGTGGTACTCTTATAAAGCTTAATTTTGTGTTTCCTTACTCACGCATGTATCAGAAGGCAAATTTGCTTTTGAGTTCTGATTCTTCCGGTACTAAGTTTCTACTTTTTTTTTTTTTAAGTTTCTACTTTTTAATTTCTAAAGTTTTCTCCTAGGCATTTAATTTTTTTCCAATGTTACTGTTCTGTTTTGCTTCAAAAGTGGAAGTATCTTGTACTTTAATGCTTATTTATATTCATAAATCTGATAAATGTACAGATATTATATAAAGCAATAGTTATTTGTAAAATTTTATTATGGATAGTATCTTGGCTTAGACAGTAACATGTTTTCTTTTGTCTTCTAGTAATATTGAATACATAGATTTCACGTAGTTCATACAATTTCTTTAAAGAAAGACAAGTTTTAATTTTAGCTACTAATATTCTCTTAGACTATTTAATATTTAGGATAATTTTATTTCAGCTGTTTTAAGGAATTCCCTAGTATGGCATACTCTCCCAAATCTGTTTCCTTTATTATTCTCATCTTAAATGTTTGCTTCATGTTACTATATAGAGAACAAGAAATTTTTCTTCTAGAATGAACCTCTTGGTGCATTGTTTGGAGAAAGGTTGATGTTAATTATAAGTTGATCAGTACAGTTTTACTAAGTGTCTCTTCTCCCATCTGCTGTCTTTTCAGATGCAGATCAAGGGAAAATGGAGTTTATCCTTCTATTTCAGTGTTTATTTTTAAAGTTTTTTACTAGTACTCTTGCTTTCTTTTGCCAGAAAGCAGCAGTGTCTTGTCTTTCTGTGGTTGATCCAGCAGTGTTGTTTGCTGTCTGTTCTACAGGGCTGCTTTCTTACCTTTTGCTTTGAGATACGTAATGACATCTTTCCAAATAGATCCTTTGGTCTAGTCAAAATCAAGCACACTGCTCTCTTCCTTACTTTCCTGTGGGTCCTTCAGATTTTGATTTGTTTTGTCTTTCTTACCTCTCCCCACCTTTATTCTTCCACAGTAAATGTAGTTCTCTCTTCAAAGCGTGTTTCATAAATCATAATGGAATTTTGCAAAATAATTCTCTATAGAGATGCATCATAATATGTGGGTTAGAATTTCACATTTTATTTAACTTAAAAGTAACTTAATAGTAATGAATCTTAAAGAGGTTGCATTAGGTGAAATAAGCCACAAAAGAACAAATACTCTATGATTACAGTTGTATGAGTTCCCCAGAATAGTCTTAATTCAAAGCGAGAGAAAGTAGAATGACAGTTGCTGGGGCAGAGGAGAAAACGGAAAGGGGAGTTACTATTTAATTTTAGTTTGGGATCAAAGTTCTGGAGGTATATGGAGGTGACAGTTACCCAGCAATGTACTTGATGCTACTAAACCGCGTATTTGAAAATGATTAAAATGACAATTTTTATGTAATGTATAAACACACACAGAGGAAGCTTAATGGTTTACATATGCTCTGTGGGCTGGATTGATAATTATTTAT